TTCTTAAAACAACTCCGAGACAAGAGCAAAGTGGCACATTCGAGCCAGCTCACTGCCGCATAAGGATTGCAGCTTGATGGAAATCAAGATTTCCGTTCTAATTTTCCCATCGTTAAAGCGTTAGCAAGCACGTTTTTACACACACGTACGCACGAAAACTTGATTTTAAAAAACCTCAAGTTTACAGATTCTAGTTTTTTCTGAGGATGACCTTTTCAGAACATGAAAACCCAGCCAATCCCTCTGAGCAGGTGGGGAAGCCCCGGAGGAACTCTCTCGGCAGAGTCTCTTCTTGGGATGCACCTGAATTTTGCCTTTCGCTGCCTGATATTCTTCCTCGTGGACTCTGACCAGTTTGGTTAGAAAAGTACCATGAACTCAAGCAGCTGTCCTTTGACGCCAGGGCATAGGAGTTGACTTTGTTCTTTGGCGAGGAAAACAGCAGATCTGTCTCCATGCGGGCAATGGAAGGCGAAAAGTGCACCACGCTGCCATTTACCCTTAGATCGAGCGCCTGCAGCCTCTGTGTAGCGCGGGCCTTGAAAGTGAAGCGGACCCACCCCAGCACGTGCAAGAGCCAGTCTGCTATTCCGCAATCTCCAGCCCCAGAGGCCTGTCTGGACTCTGGCGGCTGGGAGGCGCTGACCCGCTCTCACCCTCTAGGACCGCGGCAGCACCTCAATTCTAGCGAGAAACTGGCAGGTCACCAAGTGGTCTTGAGTCTGCTCTGGGCTTTGCTGCTGCCCTAGTCAAAGGCCCCACTTAGAAAACCCAAACCTGGACTGGACACCGGTCCCAGGCAGGACCCCAGGCTTGGCCACGTAACTTTGCTTGCAAACCTGTGTTCTCCCTCCCCACGGAAAGTTCCCATTCCCAGGTCACTTGGTGTTCCGCAAGCTGGTAGCCAGAAGGGCACCCGCTGTGGTCTCCAGTGGAGTGAGGCTGAGCGAGGCACCTGGAGAGCGCCCCTGGGCCCAACGCGCTCTCTTCCACTCTCCCTAGTGCCAAGAATCTATGGATAAGGCCCAACCTTGGGCGCCGGGGGCTGGCCAGCTGGATCAGATTCTGGGAGTGGCTGGGCCGGGGGACTGGACTGGAGTGAGGTGCTGTACTCGGGTCCCCCAGCCGCCATAAGACGCACCGCACCGCGCACACTCTCCTACACCTCGAGACACGCCTCTTCCAGCTCTCAGACTTCAGGAGAACAGATACCCAGGAATCCAGGCCCCACCAAGTTTCAAATGCTTGGGTAAATTTTGAGGGGTAGGTCACAGTGAGTGAGACAACCTTTCTCAATGAGGTCCCTGAAAACCCCATTTGCATCTCCTGCTGGTTACAAAGTCCGTGACCTTGGCATTTGAGCTGAGGAGCATCCCACCATCTTGAGAAATCTTGGTGTTGGGATTAGAACGAGTGTCTTTTCTCTGCCCTAGGGAATTCAGGGTCATTGGTCCTAAAACCCATCTTAGAAACCCTCTAGAAGAAATGTCGTTGGGGGAGGAGGGACACTGAGTAGGGTCCCACAAAGGGTCCAGAGGTGGGGGTAAAATGGCTTATTGGCTCTGACTACAGATCCAGACCCTCTTCCCAAAACGTCTGCTACTGCACACTGCTCCTCTGCAGCAAAGGGGCTCAGGTCAGGTGATAAGAATCAAGTAGGGCTGGCCTCCACGCACTTACATCCAGTAGTCCACGCCGCGAAGTGCTCGGCCTGCGCCTCCAGGGGGCGCTGCGGCCCTTCCCGCTAGCTGCTGGAGCAGCCAGGAACTGCGCTTTCTCATTTCTCTCTAGAGCGCGGACTCCGACCAGCGTAGGATGAAATTAGTAGTCTTTTTGTCCCCACCTCCTCACCTTCAATTCTGAATCGAATGCAAATAATCCTCTCCTGAACACCCCGAGCCTCTCACTACTCCAGGACTGAAGTGCACCTCCTCGCAGCAAGGCTTGGGTTCCCAACTCCTCCAGTCCCCCTCCCCGCCAAAAAATGTAAGCAGTGCGGGAAGTTCAAATGCAAAAGGTCCCCGTCTCGTAGAGACTGAGGGAGGCTGGGGAAAAAGGAAGCAGTCCTCCGAGGTAGTGGAAGCTAGGATCCCAGAGGGGAAAAAGGTAAATGTTTCATCATTGTTTTTTTCGTGAGTGTAAAAGTTTTAGGATGTCCACAGCGCGCGTCAAGGAGAAGGCTCCAAAGGGAAGTTTGTCTGACACCTGCTCGCCGCACAACTGGTAGAGCCTCCTGGGTGGGCCGTGGGGGAAGGGGCCTGAGCAGCTTGCCGCCTCCTCCTCCTTCTCCTCCTCCTCCTCCACCATCTCCTCCTCCGCATTTCCTCTCCCAGATCTTCGTCGCTGCCTCCGGGGACGTAAACCTGCTACTTTTGGGGTTCGGGCAGCCATTGCTCGAGCGCCCCTTGTCAGTTTGTTGGCCATTTCTCTGGATGCGTCCTTGGTGTCGAAAGCCCAGAGCCGTGAGGACAGCAGATGACCAAGTCGGAGGAAATTTCAGAGTGAACCGGCAGCTCAACTCCGGAGGGCTCAGGGAGAGTAGGACAGCTCCGGAGAGGCTCAAACCTGAGGGCGCAGCTGGGCCGCTGCAGACACCGGAATTTTCCTCTCTGCACACTCAGCCCCCACAACTCGCTCGTGGGCCGGGTGGCCTAGTTTCCGCGCCAGGCGCTGTTGCCAGGGGAACCTGGTGGGTGAGCTGCATGTAGTTGGGCCCCCCGCAGTGCGTGCAGCGTAAACGCCGGCCTGGCCAAGGGGTTTGCAGGGTGAGAACACGGAGAAACTTAAGGGCCAGTCCCGGGTGCGCGCGGAGATGGCCTGGGGAAACCAGAGTACGGCCTCGAGCGGCAGTCGGCCTCCGGGTCTCTCCCCGCTCCCGGTGCGCACCTGCCCATCGCGGCAACGAAGCCTGGAGGCTGCTGAGACGCTGCCCGGGCCACGCGGCTTGCCCCCCAAAAGTCGGATCTCGCCAATTCTTCTCTACTTTTCCAGAGATCTACAGCGCGCAGGCCAACTTGCCCAGATTCCATTTTGGAACTTTGGAGGCTGGGGTGGGCGAGGTAAACACATTTATGAGGGGGGAAAAACAGAAAAACATGCTCAGGAGGTTTGTGGAAAGTAGTCGCAGCTCGTGGGTGGTGGGAAATTCTGTCTACCTCGAGGTTCCGCACCCAACGTACACACACACAGGGCAGGAAAGGTGTGAAGCCCGCTGCTGGGGATTTGCCTCCACTTTGGTGAAAAGGAAATACGAAGCGTAGTAACGCTCTTCAGGTCACCACCCCATGAGTGTATGTCCTGGGGGGGGTCTGAAAGTAGAGAAAGTTCCTTCCAAATCTCCCAAATTGAGAAAAGCTGCGGAAGGAATGAGGCGGTTGGAGAAAGGGGACCGCAGGCTTCCCCGCAGCTGAGGCTCAGGATTGAACACTGAAATGAAAGCACCCCTATGGAACTCTAGGGAAAACATTTTTTTAAACCCCCTGAACTCTCAGTCATTCGGCTATTTCCATGTTGTTCCTCAAATTTACTTTGAAGCATTTAAGGATATTAAGCACTCGGGTCTTCATTCCAGGCTCACTTTTTAATCTTTGGGAATCTAAAACTGGAAAGAAACGGGGGAAAGATCTGTTATTCCTAAATTATGTTTTACCAAAGGAACGAAAAATTCAATCTACCTTGGCATAAATGAAATAGAGTTTTATCTTAATAAAATAATGTAGCTTCTGCCTGGCTGCCCGGTCACTGTTTAAACCTTTTGACTTTTTCAGCCCTATGTTTATATTTGTCCACTTCCCCCTTGCGTTTGAGATTATTTTAAATGAGTTTTGGGGAAACTCCTCCAAAACTGTCTTTTGGCGGAACACTTGAATTATACATCCTCTTAGAAGATCTACGCTCCTTAAAGCGCCGGCTTGCCTGGGCTAACGCAAATCCCCTCTGGCGACTCGTCTGGGACGAAGGACGATTCATTTAGTGTTGCTCAGGCATATCTCATCTGAAAAGAAGCTGCTTAAAATGGGTGTGTGTCATTTCCCTTCTGTCACTCGGTCACCCTATTCCATTGTGGCTGAAGTGTGTTCTACATTTACACTCAACGCAAAACTGAACTTTTAGAAGAACTTGAAAAATGTATCACAGCACTTCAAATTCGATTAATTTTCCTGGTGACTGAACAATGAACTAAATTTTTTGCTGAGGATGAAGCTAGTATATGTTTTGAGACGCTAGGACAGTATTTCCTTAATTTAAAAAAAGTGAGTGTTCTTCACCCATTTCAGATGAATTCTTTTTATTGTTTGCCAGTGGGTTGCAGATGCCCAACCCTTTAACTAAGTTGGTGAACTACTTATAAAATGTACATTAGTTGATTAAAGCTTAGATATTAGAAATTTCTCCTGGAACGTTCCACATGTCTTTGCAGTAATTACGAAATATGTCACCTCTATAAACAAACTTCGTTTTGAAAAGAGCAGGCGAAAGTATACTACACGTATAGGCATAATCAACCAAAAGTATGTACGAAACCATTTTAAATTGGGAGAAGAGTGATATGTACTGGAGAGTATAATCTAGAACTGACTTTATCCTTTGAAGAGGATGGCTGTGTTAAATGTGTTAAGAAGTGAAAATTAGCCAAAGTAAAACTACAAAAGTCTTCTGCGCACAATCTTTGAAAAGCAGAGAACCAGTTGTTCAGTTTCTAACACTATGGGGAAAAGTGGCAGCAAGAAGGAAGGGGGTGGGCGTTGTCTTTGCGTGTGAGTTTTGAATTGAGTCACCTTGGGCTGTCTCTATAACAGTGAAACCTCAAGCAAACCTGTGCCTTTAAGACTCAGTTGCTATCCAAACACAAGTAAACAGAGTGGACCATTAGCGGGCGCCGGGCGCGGAGGCGGAGCCAGGGTGTAGTGGGCCCGGCTCGGCGGCGGCGGCGGCGGCGGGACGCCCGCCTGAAGGGGAGGCGGGGCCGCTACTAAAGCCCACGACTCGCGGCCCCAGGCAGCCTGGGGAGGGACGCGGGCGGGGACGGAGCTCCGCGCGCTCGCTGCTGGACGGTGATGGCCCTGCGAGGCTGCGGGCTCCGACTTCACCCGGAGTCGGCGGCGAGAGGCTCGCGGAGGCGCGTGGCTCTGGGTGAACGCTGAGCGTCTGCCCCAGTACTCCCAGTCTTTACACGTTCCGCGTCCACACACTGACGAAAACAAGGATCCGCTCTCGCTTTCGCTCCTCGCGAAGCTCCAGATCATGTCGGCTGCCTCGGGGACTCTGCACCGAAGAAGTTTGCCCGGCGTGGACCCAATGACCTTTCCAAGCTGTGCGCCTAGTTGCCTGGACGTGGTCTGAGCAGCGCTGCCCAGGCAGACCTTTCTGCCAGAGGTGAGTGTCCACTCTGGGAACGAGCTGTAGCCTCCCTAAGGAAAGAAAACTTAGGGGAGAGGGGGCGCTCACATTCTTGGTCTGGCGAGCTATAAATTCAGATATGTGAAAGGAACTGGTAAGAATGCAATCACAGGGCATTGTGTTTCTCACTTCCTTGGATCCCCAGCACGAGCAGCCCAGCTAACACCCAACCGTACACACATTGTACTATTTTTAAGTTTTCTTTTTTTGGGGGGGAGCATTTAACCCAATAATTCAGCAAGATTTTTTATAAAAGTTGATAGACATAGACTGAGATCAAGCCCATGATGTTTGTGCCCCTGTCCTAGAAAGCCCGGGACGACCTGTCGTAGGGTGGCTTCAGCAACTCAGCGCGGAAGGGCCAGAACACACGGTGCCAGCCCAGCTACTGACACTGAAGGCGCGTTTCAACAGGGGAATAGTTCAGCCCTAGGAAATTCTCCACCCTTGTATTGGCCTTCTGGTCCACCCCACTCCACCCCCCCCCCCGCCGCCCCAACACACACCCTCCTGTCGTGGCCGAGAGGGCAGAGAGCAAACTCCCGAGGGCTCTAAGTGCTTGGATTTGCTAGAACTGAAAAAGGAGTTGGGGTTTGTAGGAAGGAGGAGGGAGAAAAAGGTGTTTGTGGAGCGAGCGAAGGATCTGTATCCCTACCTGTTAGCAGAGAACAAAAGAAGGCTGGCGTTTTCCCGAAATGAAACGACGGCGCAGAAAGCTACTTTCTCTACTAAACAAACTGCAGTCCTGAGCAGAACAAGAAAATTACGCAGGGGGAGCGAGGGAGCAGAGAGAAACAGAACCCAGATTATGCGGAAGGCATCTTAATTTAATTAACTCCTTTGGAAGGCAGAGGCGCTGTGAAGGGGCAGGAACTTCGCAGCCGTTTTTCCCCCTCTCTTTTATTCACCTGATCCAGTCTGGCTTTTTCTTTCTTTCTTTCTTTTTCAACGATCTTAGATTGCTTTAGACTACAGATCTCTGATTTATATATAATTCTATTGTGATTTGGACTGAAAATCAGTGAAACTATCCATCCTCAGTCTTTTCTCTCAGATAACAACACACAAGTTTTAGCAGATGATTCTTGATATTATTTTTAGATAACTGGTGTAGTAAAACCTTTACCAAAGAATGAGACTCCTTATCAAATTACCAATGTCAGTTTTTTTTTGCAATATTTGGAAAGTTTCACTGAACTGAAATTAGTATGTATACATCTCCCTTGTTGACAGCTAGTAAACTATATTTTATAAAACTCCTATACATGCCTGGAAATTCCTATGAAGAAGACGTAAAAGAAAAGTAGCCTACGCTCCACTGGTCTATGTATGCCTTTTCATGGTTTAACTTTCTCTCCTTGCAAAATGAAAAGTAATCAATAGTCCAAAAGGGGATGGTGGTAAAATGACAGCAAAGAAGGATGATCACGGTTGTTGCCTGAAACTGAATGTGGGATCTACATGGCTGAGCTCTAGACAAATCGAAAGTACATTAGACCTCTGCATTGGCTTAAAATATCATTTGACATACATTTCCAGCAACTCAACAGGAGTGTGCAAATCTAAACTCCCTGATTATTTATGGTAACAGTGTTTAGTGGATACTTAGGGTTGTTGTTTGTAAAACGATTTCATAGAAGGCATCAATGGTTTGCTCTTCCTCTGTGAAGAAACTATCTGCCCTACAAATTAAAACCAAGGTACACTGTGAAGTAGCACTTTTGTGCCAACACAAAGCTGAATTTTAATAATGTCATTGATTTCTGTATTACAAACTGTTGAGAAAAGGAAAGGAAGATGGCACTCCTTTTTTTCTGTCAGCAGAATTAACAGTGTAACCTTTATGGCAAAGTTTACTTTGTGTACTTAGAATTTAAAAAAAAAAATCACAGATCCTAATAGTCCTTCAGTTAACAACATCCCCCTTCTGCCCCCACATCACAGTAGTAGGAGTTGTGCTCTGCCTCCTCTATTTATTTCTAAGAAATCTAGTCTGGGAATACACCCAAATAATAATTTTGGTTTCCTCTCCATAGGGGAGAGACTGCTATTCAACACTAGGGGGAAAGTATTTTGAATCTCTGGAAAATCCTCATTACCCAGGGAGAAGGAAATAAAGGTGAAATTTATTTTTAATGGAAAGGAAAATTATCAGATAGATTACCAGAGATGCTAGTAGAATCCCTTTTTCCTAATTCCCTGGGAGAAGATTTGAGGTTTGCTCCTGATCAAAAGTGAATAGTGATTTGTGGTGGGAAAGTTTATTACTAATGGGGGTTTACGGTTTCGGTTGAATGGTTCGACTGAGACCCTCTGACTGTTATACACCTCTCATTAACTTTTAGCCTGAACTCCCAGACCACATACCACCAGGCAGAAGCCATTCATTAATAAATCTCTGTCTCTGAGCTGTTCCAAACAGAGGAGGAAGGTGTGGGCCCCACGAGGGCAGCCAGATTCAGCTTTTGCCAGAGCGCTGTGTCTTTAGCACAGCTCCCAAAGTCTGCCCTCAGATGGAATCACAGGCACCACTTCACCACACATTGCAGAAAAAAATTCAGGCGCAGAAAGGAGTGGATGGGCAGGGAGTGCAGGACATGCTCTCCCACCTTCCTGCTGGGTTCAAACTCCCAGAGCGGCAGTTGTTGGTAGACCGGTCAGCCTAGCCCTCCCGGGGAAGCCCTTAGCCCTAAGTCCCGCATCTGGTAGGCCGCCCTCCAAAGGAAGGCCCAGATCCACGGGCCTGGGAGAACCGACTTTTTAAAGGGGGTTGGCACTGGGAGACGGTGGGCCCGCCGCGAAAGCGGTGAGGTGTTCCAGGATGCCCGAGTCTGAAATTAGAGCCCGAGGACACAGAGCTGGGACCTCCTTGCTTAGGCCCAGGCGCAGACCCCGATCTGGCCTTCCTGGTGTCAGGAGCGCCGCCGCACACACCTCCTGGCCCGCAGGGCCGCTCAGTACTCAGCCTACTGCGGTTCCCCTGCAGCTCCTTCCCTTTGCCTCCTTAGGGAGCCCTCTCCTTTCCTCCGCTCTCTAGAGGCCTCCCCGGTGTAGGGGCTGCTCCTCGTGCCAGACCAGGAAGCGGCTCGGGCCTCCCGAGAGCTTGGTGCTCTGTCTGGGAAAAGGGGTTCCGGCCTCGGGGACGTCCTCCGCCCCACCCCACCCCCGGGAGGCTGCACCATCTGGAAGGGATCTTGGTGGGGGGTGGGAGGGGAAGCAACCCCTGGGAAGGAGGAGGGGGTGATTCCAGGCCGAACCAGCCCCTGAGGTGTCACTTTTCTTTCCTGCTGCCCGTCACTACTGATAAATGGGACTGAGGCAGAGAAGGAAAAAGAAAACCTCCGAGGTCAGCGCGGGGCGAAGCCGAGCCCTTCGAGGGCCCTCTGGTTCAGGAGGACTGCGCGCGCCCCCTCTGCCCTCTCACACGCCCGGCGTGGTCAGGGGAAGCGGGAAAGGCGCCGGGCGCCGGGCGCTGCAAAAGGAGTAGTTTTCACCGGGGCTGAACCAGGCCCTCGAGCCCGGGGTCGGACCTACAACCCGTCGTTCCCCAGGGACCTTGGAGGCGCCTCGGCGACAACGGCTCTGTCCCGGCCGCAGACGTCGGCGTCTCAGCGGTCGCGGTTGACTGAGCTTCGCCTGACTGGGTGAGGGTGGGTGGGCAAGCCTAGGGACCTACCTTTCTTTCTCCACGGACCGAGTCTTCTGCTCTGTGCGTGCCAGGAATTCGTTCTTCCCGCGGGCGCCCCGCTGACCCGAGGAACACTTACTATCCCGGAGTCCAGGACTCTGTGCACTCGCTGGCAAGGCGATATGCTGTCCCTTCACGGCTCCTTTTGGGGGGGGGTGGTCTTAGACGTGGGAAAGGAACTTGGAAAATGTGGTAACCCGCTCGGGAACCAAAGGGTCCAGGGAACTGGCTTGGATGATAGTCACGATCTCTTCCTCTCTCCCCTTGCCATTTTTAGGGCTTTCTCCGCGAGCTCTGGTTTCCCTGCGTTTTCCCCGAGCCCCACGCCCACCCATCTCTGAGTCCTGGAAGAAAGGGGCGGCTCCCTCCGCCCCCCAGCATCCAGGAAAATGGGGAGCAAGGCCCTGCCGGCGCCCATCCCGCTCCACCCATCGCTGCAGCTCACCAATTACTCCTTCCTGCAGGCCGTGAACACCTTCCCTGCCGCGGTGGACCACCTGCAGGGCCTGTATGGTCTCAGCGCTGTGCAAACCATGCACATGAACCACTGGACCCTGGGGTACCCCAACGTTCATGAGATCACCCGCTCAACCATCACCGAGATGGCGGCGGCGCAGGGTCTGGTGGATGCTCGCTTCCCCTTCCCGGCTCTGCCCTTTACCACTCACCTATTCCACCCCAAGCAGGGGGCCATTGCCCACGTCCTCCCAGCCCTGCACAAGGACCGGCCGCGTTTTGACTTTGCCAACTTGGCTGTGGCCGCCACACAGGAGGATCCCCCTAAAATAGGAGATCTAACCAAGCTGAGCCCGGGGCTGGGTAGCCCTATCTCGGGCCTCAGTAAATTGACTCCGGACAGAAAGCCCTCTCGAGGGAGGTTGCCCTCCAAAACGAAAAAAGAGTTTATCTGCAAGTTTTGTGGCAGACACTTTACCAAATCCTACAATTTGCTCATCCACGAGAGGACCCACACGGATGAGAGGCCATACACGTGTGACATCTGCCACAAGGCCTTCCGGAGGCAAGATCACCTGCGGGATCATAGGTGAGGTGGAGAAAGAGGTTGGCTGGGAGAGGGAAGGTGAATTTGTCCAGGATATAGAGTCCTAATAGACATTCCAAATGTCACTAAAGTACCCTCTGATCTAGATTATACTCTTAAAGACCCTCCCTAACTGGCTTCAGCTGATCCCCAAGGGTTACCGTTTCACCCAGCAGTTCCCTGCTGCATTCTGATTTGGGTTAATGGCCTTTCCCAATCCTTGGTCAGGAAAAATCTGGTGGGTTGGCCTTAGAATCTTATTTCCATCTCAGTCAGTTTCCGTGGGGAGTAGGGGGCCTCAGAGTCTTCCCACGATGGTGCCTGTGCGGTTACGAGAAATGTGTTCTGGCCATCTCTACCGGGTCCCCTTCCTCCCTTTTTCTCTCTCCTCCCCAGAACCTGCAATGAGGACCCTTCTAAGTTGCATTTACCAGGGTCATGAGGTCATGGACCTTAGAACTTAGAAACAGCTCCCAATCCCCGCCTTAAACTCGGCATTAACAAATAACAATTGAAGAAATACCTGTAACCTGTAACAGTGTTTTCACTGGTTAAAAACATTCCGGGTGGTGTGGGTGGAAGTATCTTCTTCGGAATCTACCTGCTATTTGCAGAGGTGAGACTTCTGTACCCATCCTCTGAAGCTGTTAAGGGATTCGCTGAGATCAGTTCTCCACAATTCGGCCTTGCCTTAAATCCTGATTTGGCCAATTTAAATCCCACAGAAAACCGTGAAGGCCAAGAAGGGTTGGTTCCTCCCGTTTTAAGCTCCAGAATACGCCACTCTGGCGATCAAATGTAGATAAAGCCTGAAGGCCCGGTGAATGTTTTGAAGAGTCTGTTAGTTGAGGTTAACCATAAACAGAATTACACAGAAAAAAAATCTAAAAACATAAATAACAAAAATTCTGTTTCTTTGGTCCTTCCACAACTTCCTTTGAGTAATTTTCAAAAGAAACTCCCTCCTCATGGGGGTAATCCATTTCAATGAAACCTTATATTGATTTTCAGGTATATCCATTCCAAAGAAAAGCCCTTCAAATGTCAGGAGTGTGGGAAAGGATTTTGTCAGTCTAGAACTCTAGCAGTTCACAAAACCTTACATATGCAGGTAAGTTTGTTTTCTTGCTTAAAAACAGTGACTGGTTCGTTTTACCATTATTGCTTTACAAAACGTGTTCAATGTCAGGTTCTGTCTCTTAAAGACCCCTCTTTAGATTAGTTCTCTAGGTGAGGAAAGCAGCACTTTTTATTTATTTCTTTATTTTAGTTATAGATGGACACAATATCTTTATTTTGTTGGTTTATTTTTATGTGGTGCTGAGGATCGAACCCAGTGCCTCACATGTGCAAGGCAAGTGCTCGGGCACTGAGCCACAACCTCAGTCCCAGCACTTTTTATTTTTAAATGCATAAATTAATCTTACTTAACATAAAGCATTTTTTCCTGTTTTTCTTAATGAACAGGCTGCTCTGTTTATAGTAAATCCTAATTTTAGAATTATTTTTTTTCATCCGATATGCCCTGTGTTTAAAGCTTTCGTGTTTGGGAGGAAATAAAGGTAATTTTGATAATGGAGGCATGGTGAAATCCCATACGCTCTCTTTCCCAGGGGCCTCATAATTTGTAGCTTTCAGAACATTGAGGAATAGTTTAATTTTCCAGCAAAGAGGAGCCTTATTACCCGGGAGAATGTCGTTCCTTAAGAAAGGATTAGGGTTTTTCCTTCCCCCTTTTCCTGCCTGTGACATGGTGGTGAAATGTGAAGAGCTGGAAATCGCAAAGCCCACCGCAGTGGCTGTGGCCCGGGGTCTGCCTCCGCAGTTATCAGTGTAATCTGCCTCCGTGTGTGCCTGCACGTGTGTTTTCATGATTGGAGGATTAGGAGAGCAGATTTGTTCCTGCAAGTCCCTTCTTTTGTTGTTGTGCGCTTGTTATGTTAAGGCTTGTGATACCGATAAGACAGAAACTATTGAGAAGGGTGCAGTGGTGGTGTGAAGGATTAATCCTTTGCTTGCTTCACATCTGAACAGGAATCTCCACACAAATGTCCCACATGTGGAAGAACCTTTAATCAGAGAAGTAATCTGAAAACTCACCTTCTCACCCATACAGACATCAAGCCCTACAGCTGCGAGCAGTGCGGCAAAGTGTTCAGGCGAAACTGTGATCTGCGGCGGCACAGCCTGACTCACACCCCGCGGCAGGACTTCTAGAGAAGCCCAGGATCTGTCCCGTGCCGCCGCTGCTCCCATCCCCAGACACCTCTCCACGCCTCCCACCCGAGGGTCCCACCCCCAACCCTTCACTGACCCCAGCTCTTCCCTTGCCGCAGCCGCACCTGCAGCTCCAGGGAGTTAACTGTGCTTCGGGAGGACTGAGAACTATAGAAAGCCACACACTACACCCTTTCACAAAGAGCATACGCTAGTTTCTTGTAGATATTCACAGCTCATTTTAGAGCTCTGTACATAATGTCGTGGGTCTTTGTTTTGTTGTTTTGTTTGTTTTTGTATCTTGTTGGATGAACTTAGATGTGGAAAATGGAGGCCAAAATTATCTTTAAAGACTTTGTATTTTCAAAATAAAAAATTTTCTTGTTTGTTTCAACACTCCTGCGAAAGTGTCCTGGTATTCAACTTGTTTTTCCTCTAGATTACATTGTAATATGGAAAGGTATTCTTTATTCCCAGGTTTTAAAACTAGGGCTTCTCACAATTTTCTTACTGAAACTTCAGCCCTTCTCTTTTTGTACAGTGACATTTTAAAATTGGACAATTGTGTTCTCTTTGTTTTTCAAAAATATTAAAATGGATATCTCTGAGGTTTTACTCCCTTTTGTTTATTCCAATTCCTTATGTACCACCCTTTCAGATTTGAGCAATGTATCAATCTTACTAATAACATGACCTTCAGTAGCTGTCCTGTTTGAAAGCCCAGATTGGGGAGAAGCATAGCAAGAGAAGAGGGAGCTTCTTACCACTTTATTTTCTGGAGTCCTTGACCTGTTGTCAGAGTTTATGATGGGCAACTTCTCTTACCATTAGACTTTGAACGCTATGATTTATCACTCTAAACAGAGACTTTATCCTGCCATCAGGGTAGAAGTCTGCAGGAAGAAACAGCCTCAAGAGGACAGGGAAGAGCAGGAGGAAGGAGAAACTACTGAGCTGTGTTTGCACATAATATTTCTGTCCAAGGGTGGAGATCATTTCTGCTAGGAGGTTAGGATTTCTTCACAAAGCAAAGTGAGTTAGGTCATTAATGAGGTTTCCATCACTGGTTGGCTTTCTGTCCCTGGGAAAATCTCAGAAGTGCAGGTCAAACCATGTAGAGAGCTTGTGATGAATATGTTATCACTTTCTGAGGCATCTCAACCTTTCCAGAATGTTTCCTAGAGAAAAATGACATTAGTATAATGACAACTTTGAAGTATAGTGTAGGATTTGGGTGGAAGGCTTGAAAAGGAGATAAATACTAGTGTGCAAAAAATGGAAGAAGGAAAATGACTGAATTTAAAGAGGGTAGGTACATCAGAAGAACCTGTGGCCCAGTAGATTCTCATGAACTGTTGTTAATCCTGAACAATGGGGTGATTATCAATTCTCAGATTTTTTAAAAAAATTATATATTTGTATGGAGATGGCATGTTTCACCTTAGGGTAATACCAGGCAACATTTCCTGTGTTTGTATCTTAGAATCCTCTGGAAAGGTAGGCAGGGTTTTTTTTTTTTTTTTTTTTTTTTTTTTTTAGGACTAGATTCAAAATTTCTCACCAGTGCCTTGTTCAATACAACTTGCTAGCAGGTTTCAAAAAATATTTCAGTCTGACTATTTACCCTGTTTTCAGAGGAGCTAGATAGAAGTCACTTCTCCACCTTGCCAGAGAGCAATTCTTTCCAGCAAAATGTCTACTTATCTAATTCACACACAAATGCATTCCCCACCATAAGATGAGGCCAAAGCCTTTACTAAGGAGAAAGGGCAGGGATAGAACATGGAGGGCATGTGTCATTTGTTTTCTTTTGTTTGTATAGAATTAACTCAGTGACCTCCCTATCCCTACTCTCTCAAGATCCTGCATGTCTTGGCACAGAAGATTTGAATACTTCAGGGCAGGGTTACACATTGACTGTCCCTAGAGTCCCCCTAATCCTGCAGGCTTTTTCTATGTAGTCTTGTAGCCCCACTCACCCCTACTGACTACAAGAGTCACGGTTCCACTGCACTGGGTTCAGTCGAATTATCACAGAATGACCCTTGCTCACTATCAAATCTCAAGCATAATCTTGAGGTCCCAGCCATTGGGATACAAGAGAGGATGACCAGAATACCGTCCCTCTCCATTTGTTTTACTTGAAAAAAATGCAGAATTGAAAGAGGATGGGCAGAGGAGAAAGTGAAAAAAGTAGTTCTTCCCACACACATACTGTTTCAAAAGTTATATTTAATTTACTTAGAATTAGTCCTTTATTAATTTCATACATGATTTTTGTGGACTTTTCATGTGCCAGATTCCACTGATTCTCATTATGAGTTTCTGGCTTGCCACATCTAGTGATACATTTTTAGGATCTTGACTTCTTGGACAATTTAAAAATTACTCTAGGGCTTAATTTAACATCACTTTTCAACCTTAACACTTAAATTCAGTATCCATCTAGGTTTAGAAAGGATCTAGCATCTGTCTGAGTAGACTCCACACATTCTTTATGGATTCCTCTCAGAATTCTAAGTTTTATTTTATTCTTCTTTAGGATGTCCAAATATATGGGAAATTAATCTTGTGTGAGACAAACTCATGAGACTAATAGGGAAAAGTGATCTGCTAGAGCTTTTTGGTTCAGAGGAGTCCTTATTTAAGTTTTAGATTAGCCTGTGCTTTCCTTACACCCTCTACCAAAATCAACTTAAGAATCAATACTCCTAGCAAGAAACCAGAAGCAGGAAGTATCACAAGTCATAACCACAGTGCTAAAAAACTTCATGAACAATAGTTAAGAATTGCTCTTTAGGGGCTGGGGTTGTAGACCAGGGATCAAGTGCCTGCCTAGCATGTGTGAGGCACTGGATTCGATCCTTAGCATCACATAAAAATCAACAAACAAAATAAAGGTATTGTGTCCCATCTACAACTAAAAAAACAAAAAGAATTGCCCTTAAGCTGCAACTGTAATCTCATCATCTGTGTGTGAGCCTTTGGAACTGATTTCTAAAATTGAATTACATTATAATAAATTGTTAATACAAAATTATGGATGTGGGAGATGCTCTTGAATGCTTTGCTGCTGATCTTGACATATAGGTCATTGTAGTACTAGTGCTTTATAATTATAGTAATTAAAATTGCTATGTTGCGCAGGTAACACCTCTTACAGGAGGAAACCTTTCTAAAATTTGACTCTGGAGTAACTAAATATTTTTTAAAAATAAAGAAAGCTAAAATTATAAAGAGGCCCAACTAGAACTAGTGATGAAATCCAGAGAGAGTTACTGGGAATGTCTTCTGTTCGCTTTTCAGATGTTAGCATAGACATTTGGACCTCTTCACTTACTATGTTCAATTAGATACCCATTCCCCAACTTTGATTTTCGAGGGGGAGCCTTTAGGAAACATTATTTATTAAAGATTGTTGATTTGACAAACTAGACTAATTTAGATTAAACACTGTGTAGCATATTTTAGTATGAGAAACAATGTGTAGCATATTTTAGTATGAGAAAAGCATTGGCATAATGGACTGGCTTTCTTTTTACCAAAATAACTTTAATGTTATTACTATAAGGAATGAGAAAATATTGATGAGACCTAACAGGTCTCTGCAAAAACAGGAATGGCTTTTGTATTTTGGTGGATTATCTGGGTTAACCCTTATCAATGTGTTATATTGAGACTGTATTTCCCCGATTTTTCCTCCTAAAATGTAACTTGCCACTGATAATCACCTCTGCTGACAGCAATGAGCAAAAAAAGGGAGTGGAGATTCAGAGTAACTTAACTTTGATGATCCAAGATATTTCAAGTTCATTCCTGTTTCCTTCTTTCTTTTTTAGCTTATTGTTTCTCCCCCTACACAAATTACTTTATTACTAAGCCATGTAACTTCTTTTCTTGAAGAAGAGGAGAGATGGGAACCAGACAAAAACTGATGGTGAAATATTGTAAATAATCTATGTAGTACACAAGAGGAAAATTGTTCAATAAATTGTAATGATATATTTGTTAGGATGCTTCCTACTGTAAGAAACAGAAAACTCACCTACAATAGACTTAAACAACCAGGGGGTTATCTTGTCATATAACAAGAAGCCCCAAGGTAGGGTCTAGGGACTGGAAATTTAATGGAGTAACAAGATCATCTGGGGCCGTGTTCTTTCCACTTCCCTGTTTTTCCATTTTCAGTGCACAGGCCAGCCTCCCTTCATGGCCACAAGATGGCTACACCAGCTCCACTGTTTCCTCCTCACTCACATTCCATGGGTGGTGGGGGTGGATGATTTCAATCAAGAGCGAAGAATCTCTTCCACAAATCCAACCTGTACACTCGTCCTTTTATCTTATTGGCCAGAAGTAAGCCATTTGCCTTTCTTTGGCCAATCACCGATGAGGGGAATGAATTATACCACTATTGGCTAAGACTAAATAAACATCACCTTCCAAGTGCAGAAATGGAGTCAGCCTTCCCTGAGGTCCATGACTACCTGAAAAAGCCTGAGTTGTACTAATAGGAAAGATAGGACAATAAACTGTGGGTTTTTTGTTTTTGTTTTTTAGGGGTGTGGTGGGGGTGGGCCAGGGATAGCAACAGGGACTGAACCCTGAAGCACTTAACCCCTGAACCACATCTCCAGCCCTATTTTGGATTTTATTAGAGATAGGGTCTCACTGAGTTTCGTAGCACCTTGCTCCTGCTGAGGCTGGCGTTGAATTTGTGAGTCTCCTGTCTCAGCCTCCCCATCTGTTGGGATTACAGCTTGATTATTGTTAATACTAGGCAGATGTTAAAATATTGTTTCTGTTAAAAACATTATATTAGGAGATGCTAATGTTAGATTGGGATATTTAATGACATATACAGAATTATTTCAACTATATAAAACAAACAGAACCTTCCAAACACTAAGCAAAAACAAAGGCTAACAGAAAATATGTCAAAGTTTTAACAGCAGCCATTCCGTATTTGACAAACTAAGGATACACTTCCCTTTTCCTTTTCTTATTTTTTAACTTTCCACAACTAGCACTTATGCTCTTTTTTAAAGGAAAAATGCAATACTTATTATTTTAAAAATCCAAAATGAAGCCTTAATTTGATCAATATATTTACTTTTTCATCTTGATTTATTATCTCCAGCAGTCTTTGCTAGTCTTTTTTCATAGACCTACTTAAATCCTAACCAGGCTTCTGAACCATTCCTTAATCCAGTTACATCTTTACTTTCTAGGTTCCCTTTCTTTCTTCCTGGATTTACATTGAGAACTCTGGTTCCCATCTCTCCTCTTCTCTAGATTTCTTTACCCTGGTTCCTTTTCTTTCCCTTAAGAGCTTCAGTAATTCTGGCCTCTTGGTGCTCAAGGTGTCAGCATTAGAATTACCCAAGTTCTCATTTCTGGGCCTCCCTACCTAATCCAGTGGGTGAATTGGAATTTCTTGTGATAAAGACTAAAGACTCTATTTTAAACAAACACTTCAGGTAGTTCTTATGTATATTAAGGGAGAACTTCTGAGTTAGCCTTTGACACCATCCTTCCCTTTATCTTATCCATCAGCCATTTATGACCTGCTTACCATAATAAAAATAAAGCAAATCTCAACCTACTTTACTTATTTACTCACTGTCCTTGAAGTTGTCAACTTTTCCTCTGCTTTGATTCTTACAGCTTTTCCAGAGTCTCTCCCATCTATCTACGTGTCTATTGTTGCTGTCCAAATTTCAATTTTTCTTCATAGACATTTTGGCTTTGATATTTTAATTTTTAGTTCTTCTTCACTCTCTTAGTTCATTCACTAACTTAGAGGTAGAAGAGGAAACACAATGTAATAGTTGGTTAAAAATTTGGAGAAAAATCAAAGGGTAAATACAATTTTCAATTAGTTAATTGAACTATTGTTGGGGCTGGGGTTGTCTCTCCGTGTTGAGCACTTGCCTGGAACACGTGAGGCCCTGGGTTTGATCCTCAGCAGCACATAAAAATAAATAAATAAAAAATAAAGATATTGTGTCTATCTACAACTGAAAAAAAATAAAAATAAAAAATATAGTTACCAAATTGTTTCTTAATCAGCTTCCATATAAAAACATTCATTTGCTGTGATAATGCTTTATGTATTGAGGTGTGAGGATATGTTGGGTATAAGATCAGAGTTAATCTGAAGTGCTTTTTAGATTTTTAAAATATTAATATCACTCTAAAATTTCGGAGCAGGAGGCCATTTTATGATACAGCCAGGGACATGAAGTCAGAAGATGGATTTAATTTGTTTTAAGCTCTGGAACTGTTTATGGACAAGACGTTTAACCTCTCTAAGACTCAGTTTCTCATCTATAAAATAAGAATTTATACTACACAGTTTATAATGCCCTCTCTGACTTGGAAGACTTATGGTTATCATTAAGGAACACTAAGTACATTCTGTTGTTGCTATTGTTGTTTTCAGTGCTGGGGATTGAACCTAGGGCCCTTTGCATGCTAGGCAAGTACTCTCTCACAGAGCTACATCCCCAGCCTACATAAGAACATTTTTAGAAAATTACTATTGACTTCACAAAATCTAGAAAATAACAAGAAATCATATCACTTCTGTCCCATAAAATTGTTTAGTTCAATAAAAGCAAATATGATCTCTAATTGAAACTGTCATATCATTTGTTTTCTCAAAACCATTGAGTTTTTAGAGACTCTACAGAAGACTGTTGATTGAAAGTAATATTTTTACACTGAAAAGTAAATGTATATATTTTTCCAGTTATGGAAACAATCATGTTTATTGTAAAAAAAAAAAAAGTTAAATGGCACAGAAGTGTATAAAATAAGCCTCCTATCTTCCCTTTCCATTAATCCTCCCAATTTTTCATTCCCCAGAAGTAGCCACTATGAACATTTTGGTGTATCTTCCCAGATGTTTTGCTGTGTATATGCAAGTGTATGTACTTACACACACACACACATACACACACACACACACACACACACACACACACACACACACACACACGGGATCATACTGTTTTGCAACTTCCTTCTCTCTCTTCCTATCAGTATACACAGAACTGCCTCTAATGTAATGGGAGGAAAATAATAAACCTAAAGATTAATTAGAATTTAATGTGGAGAAATAGTAAAATCATTCTGTTATTAAAATTATTTACAAAACGCCATCCTTAACTGACAACTTTTAGTCCTTATCTTCAAGAAGGCAGCTGAGAAAGTGCCAGAGGGGTTTTGAGCATTCTTCAAGGTGTGTCATATTATGGTTCACATCAGTGCACATTGATATACCTCCCTGGCAAGTACTGAAAGATACAGTTCTTAAATCCTCTGGTGACCCATTATCCATGGATCATTGACAAGATAGAATGTAATAGCTCCTGTCTTTTTACCAAGATAAACTTCACAGTGAAACTGGACTGATCATGCCCTGCATCTTTTATCCAAATAAGAAAATTAATCTAGAAAAAAGAAACTACTTTAAGTAGATAAGAAAAATACTCTTATATACTTTATTGTATTTTAATTTTTAAAATTGTATTTTAATTTTTATTGAATAAGGAACCAGTAGTAATTGCAGAGACTAAGAAAGTTTCCCATAACCTACCTTCCAAACAGATCATCTAAAATACAGGGCTAAACAGATTGCACAAGATCTAGTATTTGGATCATAATGTAAAACTAATACACATGTTGCCTACTTAAGGACAGAACTAAAGCAGTAGTTTAATTGGTATTATGATCAGAACTTAACTTTTACCATTATCTTACGTTAAAAAGTCAGTGCTTCTAAGTTCTAAAAATTATTTCATTTGGGAACTGGGTCATAAAGAGAAGGGCTCTCAAAGGGATTTATTAAAAGGTCTCTGCAATATTTACCACGTGGCATTATGTTTTTGCAACACCACATATTGACAGTGCTATGTTGTAAATATTATAATGTGATGACAAGACATTGTCATGCTTTTATGTGGTTCTGATTTAGGTCCATCTGAAATATCCTTATTTTTGTTAATCTTCTTGACTTCCAAAAATATTTTGCTTCGTTTCTGTATAGAGAGAGAAAAAGTGAGAAATAGAAAGATTGACACTCTTGTCAGTTAGATTAACACTTCATTTCCTAACCCTATCAAAAGAAAAAAAGAATTAATTTGACCCGTCTTTTATAGGCAAGTGAATTAGACATTGTGAAGTTGAAGACACATATCCCTCCAACTCATTGAGTCCACTAGAAAAACTCAAATACATCTGAAGAAAGAGACATAGATAAGAATGTTTTTTGAAATACTGTTTTTTTGCATTATAATTCTTTCTTTCTTCCTTCCTTTCTTTCTTCCTTCCTTCCTTTCTTTCTTTCTTTCTTTCTTTCTTTTTCCATGAGCTCTCTTATTATTATTAATGGAGCAAACCTCAAAGAATATAGAGTACCACTAACAGGGCAGTGGGTAAATAAATCATGAATATTCACATAGTGGAATATCCTATAGTAGTTAAATGATTAGATGAATACTACATGTATTAAGCATATAATGTATGAGGAAAAAAGCAAGTTGTGGAACGACAAGTCTTTATCATTCATGTACTTTGAAACATGCAGTTTATGTAAACACAGTGAACATATAAAATATTCTTGGAAATAATAAACACCAAAGTCTGGATAGTAGTTATCTTTGTGGAGAAAGAGGGAAGGTATTAGCAACTAGCAGTGAAGGGTTTACAATTGTATTTATGATGTTTTATTTCTTAAAAAGATATTTGAAACAAATACAGAAATTAAGATGATGAAACAGAATGATGAATGTATGGGGGCTTATTATATTAATCTCTGTACTTTACTATGTGCTTGAAATTTTTCAAAATAAACATTTTCCCCCAGTGCTGGGGATTGAGCCCAGAGCCTCACACATGCTAGGCAAGTGCTCTACCACTAAACTATATATCCCCAGCCCATAAACATTTTTTATCCCAAAATATTACATTAGAACTGAAAGGGACTTTCGGAAATGTCTAGAATTGGACATTAAGGGAGCAGCTTACTGAGTATTGTGCTCGGGATGCACTGTTGCATCAGACAAAAGATCTCTATATCTTTGGAACTTACATTCTACTGTTCTACGGAAAGAGACCAAATACAAGTAAAAGAGTATCACTAAGAGATATACAGAGGATTTCATTTCACTTGAGTTTGAGAAAACTGAGGAGCAAAAAAGTTAAGTGATTTCCCTGAGATCCAAGCTAGTTCTAGAACGTTCCCTTTCCTCTCTGCCTTTCCATATTTTTCCTTGGTCACTCTCTAACTTAATGTTATTCTAATTACTGAAGTATTAGGCAAAAGCATTGATACTGTCACACTTATTTTGTTGCCATCTCTATTTACATTATAGGCACAAGATACACATTTAGCAAATGCCAAAAACATATCCAAATAGTCTAAAAATTATTGGAATATTGTGAACATGACATTACATTTACACAACCTTTTTATTAGGTAGGTCAGCATTATTGTCATTTCATGAGTGAAGAAAGAGGTGAATGGGGGAGTAGCTGTAGGGTGGAGTAAATTGCCTAAAGCTTTGTAGGTAAGAAGAGTGACAGGTTCTGGATCAGAATTCAGAACTCTGATTAATCTAATGCAAAATCTTAAGTATCTTTCTTTTTGATCTTCCCTTTCGGGTTAGCATGTCTCACTTCCACACAATCCTGTAAAGCCAACACCATTCTTTTGAAAATTATAATGGCTCTTAACACTAATGTCTTGTCAAATAAACTGAGTATTTTTTCACTTCCAAGGTTGTAAATTCATTGGTAAAAATATTTAATCTAAACATATTTAAATGTGCAAACTCTTCTGTCCAGATGATCTCAGGGTGTGTTCTGGGAAATCATTTCCTGGACTGTAACTGTTCTATTCAGAGCTTTGAAGACAGATTTCAGGTGAGCTTTTACCCACAGTTGGCAAATAAAAGGAGTAGAAGAACAAAATTATTATGGTGGCCTAGTCAACTTAGATGGTGTTATGACATCCATTCTCCTTAAAAAAAAAAAAAAGCAACATACAGAGGCTGGGGTTGTGGCTAAGTGGGAGAAAGCTCACCTAGCACGTGTGAAGCCCTGGGTTCCATCCTCAGCACCACATAAAAATAAATAAATAAAATAAAGGTATTGTGTCCAATTAGAAATAAAAAATAAAATATTTTTTTAAAATTGTAAGATTCATAAAGTTTCTATCAAAGTAATTATCTTCATCTCTATTAAAGTAATTGTTTTAATAATATTATAACTTATGGTGATTGTTACAGCTTCTTCTTTCTGAGTTCATTAAAAAAGAATTGGTCACTTATAGAAATGAAGTCCTTATGGGGACAACTTACTCTTGGCAGAATATATCCAACATCAGAAGGTAGTGTGGTCTAACACTATCTCTACCCAGGAATCCATCAGCAGGGTTTACCCTTATGTACCCACAAACTACCCTACAAAGCTAATTATAGGTTTATGTTGTAAGGACTCAGCATTGACGGGTACAAGAACACTCTAGAATTGCTTATTATCTTCATTTTCCAATGAATTCCTTCTTTCCTTGGCTGATGTGTGAAGCTAGCCTTCTAAGGACTTCTTCAGTGTCCTTATTAAGAACATCTGTAAAGAGCATCAGAATGAAGTGTTGAATTTCACCCATTTGGATTTCATTAAAGTGTCTATAGTTGTCAAGCATTTAGAAAGTCAAGACTCTAAGAGTTCGAGGTTTGACCCAAAGGAAATTGGTCCTCATTTTAAGGCTAAGCAGGAGGCATAACTGAGCCAAAGATTTTTAGAGAATA